CCTCCTTCCCCCCCCCCCCTTAGTCAAGATGACACCCCATTGGGTCAGTTACAACCATAAACGGTTAACAGGACCCCTTGAAGTGACCTTCAGTTTGGACAGCTGCCATTAAATCCTAGCCTGCCATGATGAAGTCCCTGCCCCTAGACCCTCTAGATCATAAGAAGTTTATCTCAGACAAAGACAGGTGCTTGCTTCTCCCTGTGAGAATTGGCCTCGTCCCTTTGCTGGCAATAAGCCTTTCTGTCTTTGTTCTACAGGACTACGTCCCTGTAGTTTTCTGGGCTGGTGTTTACAGTTCCCACCCGTGGACCTTTCTTCCTGTACACTGTCCTCACATGCAGCTGCCAACTCCTTACCAGTCCTCATTAATCTGTATAAAAATGAATGAACTGAATGACTTTGAATCCTCGTCTTCTTCCTAGAGAAAGAGCTTCTGGGAAGTTTATTTAGGGTAGGTGGTCACTGTGATCCTCAGATCTCAGTCTCCTGAATAGCTAGGGTTACAGCTGTAAGCTACTGATGCCCGGCTTAATTCTTAATTTTAAGTAATACAGTAAGATGTTAATATTCCTTATGCCATTTTGTTCCACTTTCAAGCTGTCTTATTTATAAAGCAATACATAATCAGGACATTTATCTTTTCATTTCACTCCTATTTTTGGATTCTTCTGAAAACCCAAACTTAAATACTATTTTAAAATAGTTTTTAAGGCTTTATATAGAAAGATGTTAAGCACAGGGCTGGGAAGGTGGCTGGGTGTTAGAGCACTTGCCTTGCATGCATGAGGCCCTGGGTTTGATTCCTCAGCACCACATAAGCAAAAAGAAAAAAGCCGGAAGTGGCACTGTGGCTCAAGTGGTAAAGTGCTAGCCTTGAGCTGAAGACCTGAGGGACAGCACCCAAGCCCAGAGTTCAGGCCCCACGATCGGACCCCTCCGCAAAAAAAACCAAGAAAGATGTTAAACACATAGTTGTAGTAATAGACAATTAATGAAAATAGCAAATAAGATTATAATATAGCAAATATTCTAATTTTATCAAATCTGTTTAATGGTACACTTATGTAGTCACTGAAATATTGGAGGTATTTAAGAATATTTGCTATAAAGCTCTAATTTTAAAGCCACACAAATATTATGCATAGTGTTAAAAATATGTAAGAAATGTAGAAAATTCTGACTATACCAAAAATTTTTAAGTCAGCTTCTAAGTGGTAGAATATGGTAGTTAATTTCCTTATATTTCTTGTTTCTATAGTTGTCAAACATTCTTAAGTTAATGTTTATTATAACCTTGTATTCAGGAATCGGAAAAAAAATTCCTTGCAAGGTAAGATAAATGACCTTGGCAAGACAGATATTACTGAGCCATAATACCTAGTTGGATCGTGTACCAACTGCTCCCCATGCTACTATCTTCTGTTTCCTTGGCTGTTTTCCCAGTTCTTGATCCTGGCTGCCTTCGATGTTTTCTGTTACCAGCTAGTGAACTTCTTGTATTAACTAAGCTTATGCCCCACAACATTGCGTTTTGTTGTTGGGTTATTTGTTGTTTCCTTCAAATACTTAGGTCTGGTCATCTCTTTGGTATTCAAAGAGTAAAGTGACAGTTGGAAGTGTAGCTTGAGTGATAGAGTGCACCCGCTGCATGGTTCTATCCCCAGAAACATTAAAAATAGAGTAAGGTGATTGAGGCAGTTCTTTTACAAAAACTAATGAATAAGATCTCCCAACAGGCTAACTAGTTTCTTTTCCCTCAGTCAATAAAAGCTGTTAGGCAACTTGTTTTTGAGGGGAGGAGGACTGGGGGGACAGGAATCTCACATCTAAAATTCATGTTCCCAAAACAACAATAACATTAACAACAGTCAAATAAAACCTATTTACGACAGCATAAATAAAGATGCTTGTGAGATTAAAAAAAAAAACTAATGCATAGCATTTTATCTGGATTGTAGTTGAGAAAAAAAGAAATTATAGCTAAATATATATATGTATACATATATATATATATATATATATATACACACATACTGATGAATCAGTTGTACTTTTCACCCAGTATAAATATGACGATACAATTGGATCATTCAGCTAGTGGTAACTCAACAACCAGGGAAATCTAGCATGGCAGACTTGAGAAAATTGAAACCAGAGTAATTTCAGAGATGAGGCCACCCAAGTATGTGACTAGCACTGCTAACTCACCAAGGCTGAGCAATAAGAAGCACCAGGATGAGGTGGCCATAGAAAGAAAGACATTAAAAGTGCCAGAAGCTATTAGATTTCTAGATCCTCTCTTTGGATGGGATAGAGTACTTGGCCTATCATGTGGGAGACCTTATGTTCAATCACCAACAACACAAAAAAGAAACCAGGAGGTGGGGAGGAAAGCAAAGATTCTCTCCCTTGATGCAATCAGGGAAATGTTCTATATCCCTCTCCACCCAACCCCACTCCCACGCCCCACCACCACTCTTCTCAGCCTGTAACCTGCACAACTCTTTTTCTTAGGAGATATTGGACTATGGATCAAAGGAGAGCAGTCACAGCTGAAAGCACAGGTATGGTAATGGCACTGTGGCTGAAGTAAAAGTCTATGTGATAGTTAATCTTACGTCAACTTCACTGCCTAAATGTCTGATTAAATATTATCTCTGAGGGAGTCTGTGAAAACAAAGCAAATAACAAATTGTCCTCAACAGTCTGGGTTGAGCATTCAGGGTATGAATAAAACAGAAAGATGGATCAAGGGAGGGTTTACTCTGTGCCAGACTTCATGAGGTGGATCATCTATCTTTTGCTGCCCTCAGGCTTTCAGAATAAGACTTGATTCTGCACCAGTGGCTTCACAGTCAATGCTCCAGTTCTTGGGGTTTCAAACTACACCATCTGCTCCTGCAGGTGCTTCTGCTTGCAGACAATTGTTTGTGGGACTTCTCTGCCTGCCCACAGAGTCAGGTGAACTATGATAGGTAAATAAGTAGGTAGGTAAGTTGAAAGATATTCTATTGGTTCTCTAGAGACTCCTGGCTAGTACAGTGTATTTACTGAAATTATGAAGATACTATGGCCTCATACCCTCATTGGTCTTTAGAGATATTTTCAAAACAAGTATTTAAAAAAATACTCTCTGGATAGAAACTAACAGCTATGCCTTTGTTCCACTATCTTATACCTTATCTAGGGGTTGGAAAGCCCTAAAGTACTATTGTAGAGTATTATTTTCATGTGTGAATTGACAGCACGCATTCCCACACAAATACTAGAAGGCCACTAGTGTAAAGGACAAAGACCAAATATAAACCATCAACTGAAAAAGACACAGAAGAATCAGTCAAGGGAGAGTTACTGTAGGAAACATTTTTTTAACCTGTAATTTATACATTTGGAGCTAAAAGGAGCTACATTCCAAAAAAAGTATGTGACATTATAAAAAGAACAGAATAAAAAGAGCACTTGAAATTGAAATAGTATGAAGAAAGTAATTTCATAGATTTATCCAAGTTGAAAACGTTATACATAAAGTAGAATAAAAAGATAAGAGGACCCAAGGCACCAGCGGTTCATGTCAGTAGTCTTAGCTACTCAGGAGGTTGAAATTTGAGGATCGAGGTTCTGAGCCAGCTCAGGCAGGAAAGTCTGTGAGATTCTTATCTACAATTAACCACCACCACCACCACCAACAACAACAAAAACAACTTTCAATGGAGCTGTGGCTCAAGTAATAGAGCATGAGCCATGAGCATAAAAAGCTAAGGGCTAGTACCTAGACCCTGAGTTCAATTCCTAGTACTGAAAAAAAAAAAGACTTGAAATCAAACATGAGCTCAATAAAAGTGAAAAAAAAGATCCACGATCAAATGCATATGTTTGAAAATACTGGTCACTAAGAGGGGATCCTAAAGCTATTTTGACACAAAGCAGGGAGGGGAGGAATACAGGTTCATATTTTTTTTAATTACCTATAAAGTAAAAGAAACTATAATGTCATAGGGTTTCTCAACAACACTAGGAACGAAAATATCGTGAAGCAAGTGCTCCAAAATTCTTCATGAAAATTGTTTTCAACCTAGAACTCAGTGCTTAGCCAAAACACAGGTGAGATTTAGGGCGAACACAGGTGAGGGTGTGGTGAAGGGAGAAAAAGAAGCCACACCTGAGAGTCGAAGTAAAGATGACTTGAATCCATCTCAAGGAGGAATAGGGCATGGCCCAAGTGGAGGAGAAGGGGTAGAGGGGGAGGGCAAGGGAGAAGGAGGAGGGGGGAAAGAATGGGAGGGTGGGGGAGGGGAGGGAGAAGGGTTTACTTGGGGGGGACAGAGTCTGGAAGGGGGTGGGGAAGGTAGAAAGGGGAGGGGAAGTGAAGGAGATTCACCTCCGGGGTCGTGTCAGGAGGGGGGGAGGGGAGAGGGGAGGGGAGGGGATGGAGACTGGCGCTTCTGGGATAGTGTCGGGCAAAACCAGTACAGTGTGGGGAGGGGGGGATGTACAGTGTGGGGAGGGGGGATGTACAGTGTGGGGAGGGGGGGATGTACAGTGTGGGGAGGGGGGATGTACAGTGTGGGGAGGGGGGATGTACAGTGTGGGGAGGGGGGATGTACAGTGTGGGGAGGGGGGATGAAGGCGCGTGGGAGGCTAACCTTAAATAAACACGCTTTTAAGGGGAGGGTAGCATCCTACAATAAGCCCTGACAGCAGGCACGTCTGACAGGAAAAGTTAGGCCGGCTTACTAGATCCAAATTGGACCCCCCGCGCGTCTCGGGCTCGTCACCAACTGGCTGGCGATTCTGGCGGGGCGGAGCGGCCCACGCGTCTCCAGCCCGTCCCGTCGGGGAGTGGGCGGGGCCTCCGCCAGCCCCGCTCCGGGCCTCGGGGGGCGGGTCAACGGGCGGAGCTTCCCCTCGAAATTGGCGCGCCCGCGGCAATGCGGCCTTCGGGATTGGTGGGTGTTGAACCCGGAAGCAGTCTGGGATGCTCGGAAGCAGCCGGAACGCGAGTCGCGGCCGACGCTGCGGCTGCAGGATGGTCGGAGGCGGTGGCCGTGGCGGCGGCGGCGGGAAGCGGCGGCTCGGCAGAGAGGGACAGCAGGTACCGTCCGAGAGACCGTGCGCCTCCGCGGGGCGCTTTGGGTGATAGCCAGGACGCCCGGGGCCGCCCAGTCCATTCATTCCGCCGTCCTCGAACGCCTGCCCGGGGGCTCGGGAGGCCCGGGGGGCCCGGCCCCTCCAGACTCCAGCCCGGGCCCGCGGGGATCCGGGTGCGGAGCGCAGCTCCACTGCGCCTTTTCACTCCTCTCTCTTGGCGCGGCTCGTGGGGAAGCAGGTTAAAGCCATCGACAGTCCGTCCCTCCCTCCTGCCACGCTGAAAACGAGTCAGGATGAACTCTGTGTTGAGCCCTGGCCTGGGCAGGCCGGGTGCAGTGGATTTGCATTTTGCTGTCTTGTGTGGTGGTGGTGATGGTTGTTTAACTTGAGATTATAACGCCGATGTGTAGAATGTTGTGGAATTTCTGAAGGAGGATCTGACAAGTTCTGTTGAAGAAGACTTTCAGGAAACTCACGTTTGAAAAAGATCCAAGCAGGCAGAGAAGCAAAAGAAACTCTCTTGACGTTAAAGAAATGATCATCATAAAATGTGGGGCGGGGTGTCAAGGAACGATCAGCCCGGCTGGAGCCCGGGAGATGGGAGAATGAACGGGTGGCAGCTGAACATAAAGGCACCAAATGAGGGACGGGGACAAAATATAGGCATTCCTTAATTTTATAATTTCCGGAATATGAAGCACTGCTGTAGCAAGCAAGGGAATTAGGCAGGCAAAACGTGTCATTGTGATGAGTGAAGTTTTGCGAAGGTTGTTCCAGTGTTCATTTAAAACTGAATGGGGTGAGACATTGTTCAAAGGTCTGTGCAAGGGACGTGGTTATGAACATTTTTTTTTCATATTGGGTGATGCTTTCCAGAAACACTAAGAAAATGTGGAGCTTCTGAAGGGAATATGTCTTCAATTCTAGTTGTGAGGGATATGGAGATGTTAAAACTGGTGTGTGGGGGCTGGGAAGGTGGCTCAGTGGTAGAGCGCTTGCCTTGCATGCATGAGGCCCTGGGTTCCATTCCTCAGCACCACATAAACAAAAAGAAAAAAGCCGGAAGTGGTGCTGTGGCTCAAGCGGTAGAGCGCTAGCCTTGAGCTGAAGAGCTGAAGGACAGCGCCCAGGCCCAGAGTTCAGGCCCCCCGACCGGACCAAAAAAAAAAAACAAAAAAACTGGTGTGTGGTTTAGGGCAGCGTTGAAAATTTCTCTTAGAAGGTACGGTGTTTTGGCATTATAATAGGCTTAATTAAGAAAAAGTAGCAGCCAGGTGCTGATAGTCTATGTCTATAATCCTAGCTACTCAGGAGGCTGAGATTTGAGGCTCCCAATTCAAAGCCAGCCTGGGCAGGAAAGTCCATGAAACTCCAATGAATGAGAACAAGTGGGAAGCAGAGCTGTGGCTCAAATGGTAGAACCCTATCCTTGAGCAAAATTACTCAAGGACATTGCTCAGGCCCAGAGTTCAAGCCCTAGGACTGTTTTGTTTTAAAAAAGGGAATATAATACCAAAGAGGAAGAGGATCTTATAGAAACTATAGCTGATGGGGCCTGGGAAGGTGGCTCAGTGGTAGAGCGCTTGCCTTGCATGCCTGAGGCCCTGGTTCGATTCCTCAGCACCACATAAGCAAAAAGAAAAAAGCCGGAAGTGGTGCTGTGGCTCGAGTGGTAGAGCACTAGCCTTGAGCTGAAGAGCTGA